GCTGAGGGGAAATTATTGGAGGTTTCTGTGCACCCTGAGCAGTTGAGGTGAGGAGCTCCACAACCACCTTGCTGGAAGGGCTTAGACCACATTTGCTTTGGGGTGTGGGGCCATGTTCTCTGCTCATCACTGTTCCCTTGCCAGAGGTTATCACATCTTTAAATCAGCACTGGGCTTTGCTTCCAAATTCTTTTCAAGGAGAATGAGCCAGGTCAGCAAAGACTTTTCAACTGCCTCAGCTAACCTAACCCACTCACAGTAAAATATGTTAGGAAGCACTTCCATGTGCAGCTCAGCTGGCAGGTTGGAGCAGGATTTGGCTGCTGGCAAGGAGGTGAGGTGGATCTCAGCAGGCACAGCTGTGCTGGGAGAGGATGTGTCTGCACTGTTGGTTGAACTCAGATTTTTAGGGTTCTGCAGTTCAAAAAAGATTGCAAACTGCTGCTCTGACTTCTCTATCTGCAGCAAGGCAGAGAGAGAGAGCTCCTAAACAAGCCAACAGCAATATCACTGCTTTATGTCCAAGGTCACAGCCAGGAGATTCTGTACTTTTCCAAACGATTCTGTTGGCTCTGGTTCTTTCAGGCTGGAAATGGCTTGGCCAGAATGGGAAGGTTTTTGCTTGCAGAGCTCTGCAGAGTTCAGGGGAGGTTGAGCTGAGCAGGGAGGCTGAAGTGTGAATTCACAGCACCTCAGTTGCTCCTTGCTGCCTGGGAGAAGGGGGAGACTTCCAGACTTGCCTGAAAGCTGCTGAGGAGCTGCTGGGCCATTGTAAACCACTCCACTATACACCCCTGACAAAACCTTCCCAACCTCATCCTTTTCTGCTGCATTTTATGTCCTTAACCCTTTGCTGCACCTTTGATTTCCGTGAGAGCTTTGCTCAGGTCTCAACATGAGTAGCTGAGAAGACTCCCAAGGGACTGCAAGGCCCATCAGCGTTGTTTTTCTGGTTTTTTTTTTTTTTTCCCTTTCTTTTCTTGTTTTGTTTCAAAGCAAACGGAAAGACTCGGAACCACGGACCAAATGCCTCCTGAACAATGCTGAGATCACTCCTCACCACCCGAAGGATCCGGTGGAAATGAGACGTATCAACTTCCAGACTCCAGGTAACTGGCTGCTAACCAGCCTTTCCCACTGGGAAGGCAGGATTGGAGCACCTGCCCCTTCCTTAACCCCTCCCTGCCTGCCTGAAGGCTACTGCAGCACTGCCTGGAGACCCAGTGCTAACCTAGGGTGCAGCAAGGAACCCCAAGCCTTGTCCATGCTAAGTGGGATTGCTGAAAGAAACCATTGCTGGGAACTTCAAGGACATTGCACAGGCTCATGCCAGTGCTGGCAAGGCAGGAAGAAGGGTTTTCCTGGATTCCCAGGTGAATTGATGCATTCTGGGCTAAGCACAGAGCTGCCAGCACCGTTGGCAGAGCAGCAGTGCTGCCCCAGGCCTCGCACTGGGAGTTGCCATTGGGGTGGGGAGATGGAATGTGGGAGGCTGCCCAGTGCTCCAGCCACAGGTGGAACTGGTGCTGCACAACTCCTCCTGTGAGCCAGACCTGCCCTTGGGCTGTGTGAGGAGAAATGTGGCTGCTTGCTTGGTGCAGATGAGGCAGCATCTCCTTGCTTGGTGCAGATGCCATCAGAGAGTCACAGGATGGTTTGGCTTGGAAGGGACCTTAAACATCATCTAGTTCCACCCCCTGCCATGGGCAGGGACACCTTCCACTAGCCCAGGTTGCTCCAAGCCCCATCCAACCTGGATTGGAACACCCCACTGACACCACCAGCCTGGGCACGGCCTCACGTGGCCATGCCTGTCCACACTCTACCTCCCAGTTGCTGGTGCTTGGGGATTTGGAAGGGAATTTATTGTGCTTTTTTTGGGGGCTGGCTGTTGTTTTGAGTTTGTTTGTACTTTATTTTATTTTTTTGTTTTGCTGTTTTGTGCTCGTTAAGTAATGTTTCTGCAGCTCCTGTTTGCCCATCCCAGTCCTGTCCTTAGCGTTGTCCGAGTTGCCTTAGGGTGAGGTTGGTGATAGGTACCCAGAGGGCAGAGATCTGTGGGGAAGGAGAAAGGCAGCACTGACCTGAGAGGTTCATGGCAAAATGAGGTGGGAATAACCCATTGGGATCAACCCAAGCTTAGGAATGATTCTCAGCTGAGGGATGGCGATGAGTTCAGTCCAATGTGCAGAGCAGCTCAGTCCCTAAATCACCTCTTCATGCTGCTCTTGCAGGAGAGTCTGAAGGTGTTTGAGATCTTTTGAGTGTCCTCAGCAGCAGTTAGCACCTGTCTGGGTGCAGTGGTACACTTAGAGGCACACACAGGAGTTCCCTTTGGGAATATTCAGGTGGAATTTCAGGTGGAGGTGGGAGATCCAAGAGCTATGCACTCTCCCCAGGTGAAAAAAAAATAAAATCTATGTTGAGATACAAATAAAGATGAAAGATTTTGGTCTTCCAGCTTAGTCTTGGTGGCAAGAAGCAGCTGGAAGTGCTGGTTGATGTATTTCCCTGACTGGGAATTTCTCTGTGTCCCACAGGACAGCAGAGTCAGCTAAGGGCGCTTCCGGCAGGTAATGGAATCCATGGATGAGTGAGTCAGTCTTCTGTTGACCCCACTGTTTTGGTCATGCTGTACCTCTGAATTCTGGGGCTGAGAGGCTTGTAAAACCTAGCTGAGACATGGAGACCTGTATTAAGGCTCTGCAGATCCCAAAAGACAGCCTGGAGGTTTCCAGTCTGGCTTTAGGAAGATGCTGTCCTTTCCTTTCTAAGTCATCTGGCCACAGAGTTGACCTAACTAGTTTCTTCTGCTCTACAATTTGTAAAGCAGTACAAGGTTTTAAAGGATTTGGGAGGGTTGATCACCTGCCTCCCACAGAATTTTGCAAACACTTGGGTGAAAAATGGATGGAAAAATCAGCTTGGAGCGTGTTGGTGGTGACGGAGAGATTGTGGTGCAGTTTGCAAGGGAAGACCCCACAGGTGCTGTCTGAATTAAAGGCATTTCAATGCAATATCTTGTGGTTCAGGAGGGGCCTGGAGGCTCTTCCCAAGCCAGGGTACCCCAAGTCCTTCAGGCAGAGTGTCCATCATATCCCCAGGGGAAATGTGGGAATGGGAATGTGCAGCTCAGAGAGGGGAAAGCATAGCACATCTTAGCTATCCTAGCCTAGCCTAATCAGCACAAAAAAAAAAGGAAACCTTTCTTTTCCTCTTTAGATTTATGTTGGTTTTTTGGTTTTTCTTTAATTAGCATGAAATTTTTACAAAAGTGTATCTTTTATTTATTTATTTTTTACTGTTTTCTGCAGATTCTGGTCTGAGCAGCCCTCTCAGTGACCCTGAGTTTGACTTGGAAAGTTAGTTCCTGTGTGTTTTTGTTCCTGTTGGTTTCATTTTTTCCCCCTTCCCTCCCATTATTAGTTGGGTTTTTTTTCCTCTCTCTCTCTCTTCTGTCACTTTTCCTTTCCAATTCTTGTTTCGTTCCTGTTAGTATGATTCCTTTTTTTTTGTTCTGTTTCGTTTCTTTGCTGAATTCTCCGTGTTCCTGCAGTGTTTGCCCATCTCATCCCTTGTCTGTGCCATCTGTTTGTCTGACCTGTGCTTCCAGTTTTACAGTATCCCATAACAGGCCTTTAGCAGGACAAGTTGGGCAGCAGCAGCTCAGAGCCCCTGGTAGCACTGGGGGACACTGTCCATCCTCAGTGTCTCTCTGCTGTCCCAAGGGAAGGACCTGATGTCCAAGGCTGCCTCTAACCCCATTGTGGAAGATGTTTCATTGCTGAAGCTTGGCTAAATGTCCCTTGTCCTCGTTCCTGGGTGCACTGGTGTGAGCATGGGGTGTGTGTGTGATTTGGTGGTCACGTTTGTCACGTAGGGGAAGAGAAATCAGAGCTGCAGCTGATGATCCCTCTCTTTACAAAGCACCTTTTCATGTCAGAGAAGGGAAAAAAGGGCCATTTCCCATCTGGGGCAGGTGTTTGTTGTTGGCACCAAGTTGTTCCAGGCCACCCCCAGGTTTCACACAGAGTGTCATCCAGCCAGGGTGATTTTGCAGGAGAAATGGGCTCAGGCCCATGGAACAGATGTTAGGGTGACGTTTCTGGTGAGTTGGCTGGTGCACAGAGAATCAAGTCTTTTGTGATAAGATTAGAGAGATTCAAGTGATTGAAATGTTAGATGAGACTGGCTCAAAAAGACTTCATCCCATTAGGAGCCAAGATCCAGCCTTGCTGGGTGGTTTGGAGGGGGTGGGTTGTTTTTTTTTAGGGTGCTTTGAATGCTGAGCAGGGAAGTCAATGTGAGATTTCAGCTGACGAATGTGAAGAGTCACAGATGCTGCTTGTGCTGGGAGATGTGAGGACTGGGATGTATTCCTGACTCATTGGGCTCCTTGCTATGGAATACTCATGGCACTGTTGGCCCAGTCTGCTGCCACCTCCTCTCAACCCCCTTGTTGTAACAGAGGGGTTGAGTGTGTTTTGCTGGCTGATCTCAGCCCACAGCACTGCCCTCCTGGCCAAGCTCCCTGGGGACAGACCCCAGAGGCCACTGAGCAGAGGAACCTGCAATCCATTTCCCATTGGACCCCAAAATGAGTTACTGAATGAATGCAGAGCTCAGCTGGCACAGCAGTGTGGCTGGTGCCACTGGAAGTGCTGCTCCTGCCTCTCTTACCAAACTCCTGGATCTTCCCTGAATTCCCATACACTTGGCATTTTAACCAGGGAAGTAATCCCTGCAGAGGTTTCTGGTTGTCTTTTTATTCTGAAGAACCCTAGAAATTGATCCCACAAGGAAATTCTGTCCTGAACAGCAGCAGAACAAGGTGTGTTCCCATGTGCTCCCAGCCAGGTTGTGTGTGCAGCAGGTTGGAAGGGAAAGGATGTTCCTCAGCAGAGGACAGAGCTGGTTTGCAGGAGCTGGGGCACACTCAGGGTTTTCTTGGAGCTTTTATGAAAGAAATTTGTGAAATTCCTTCAAGGGGAATGTGACATCCAGCATGGCACAGTGCAGCCCTCTGGCTCAGAGGGAACGACATATATTGCTCCACATCTTCTGAGCCAAGAAGAATCTGATTTTTTTCTCTTGCTCATTATTACTGGATTTTCTGAGTAGTTTTTTTTTTTCCTTTTAACCTACACGTCCATCACTTGGGATTTCATGTGCAGTGCTTGTTTCTCAGCAGAGAATCTCTGGCTTTTTGGAGTCAGGAGGTTGCAGCTGAGCTGAGAGCTGCCTCCTGGCCCAGAGGGGAAGGAGTTGGTGCCCCCCAGGATCTGGAGACAACTGACTGAGGTGCCAGGAGTTGCTCTGGGTAGGGTTTGGCTTTGCTTTAGGGCTCCAGCTCACGATGTGTTCACTGCCCACCTCAGCTCAGAGGTAGGACAGACCCTGAGGGAAGTGGTGATGATGTTAAACTGGTTTGGTGTCTGTTCTGGAGCATCTCAGCCAGAGTGGCCTTCCCATCCCACGTGGGCAGAGAGAGGAGCAGCTCCTCCCAACACCCTCAGTCCCAGTGCTGTGATACTGGAGTGGGCAACAACCACCCTCCATCCAGGGTGGAGAAACCTTCTCCAGGTGGAATGGGACAGGACAGCAAGAGGCTAACTGGGAGCTTTTCTCCATGAGCCAGGAGAGACTTCCTGCCCTGATCCCCAGCAGCCTAGAATGGAGCCAGTGCAGCCTCCAGAATACTTCAGGGTTATTTCTGTGAGCTTTTTTTTTGGTCTATTTCCCCTCTCCTATTTTCAGCCAGACTTCCTTGTGCTGAAAATAGATGTCTAGTGTGCTTAGGAGAAACCTGTTGAGGTGTAGCAGACTCATCCTGTCCCCAGGCCTGGTGGGGGGGAGGCAGCATCTCTCCCAAATCACTGTAAAACTGAGGATGTCATGCTTGCTTTGCCATCTCTGTGCTGAGTTTTCAGAGTATCTGACCATGCTGCTGCCACCGCCGCTGCTTTGTCACCCACCAACACCCACGGGGCTCGAAATTCTCCCTGGCTTCCATCTCTTCTCCACTCCTTCTCATCAGGGCACTGCCCAGGGCTTCTCAGCATGCTGCTCTCCATGCCTGTCTGCTGTCACCCAGAGCAGGACTGGCTGGCAGACAGCATGGGAAGCCAATGGAGAAACATAATCCAATGCAGATGAGCAAAGCACGGAGAGCTTTTCCACCTGGATTTGCAGTGTAGCTGTTTGAGCTGCTAGAAGGGAAGGGTCTCTGCTCTTCCCAGAGCTCCAGCTGCTCCTTTCAGAGCAGGCTGAGAACTGAGTCAGTCGTGGCAGTTCACTGCACTGGTGGTTGAGATGTGCCTCGGTCTGACCAGTCTGACACAGCAGGTCCTCCCAGTATGGCTCAGAGAGGATCCAGTGTACCAAAGTGCTGGGGAGGATTTTAGGGGCAGCAGGTGAACCAGGGCAGGAGGCACCAGGCTCTGCAGCAAATTGTTCCAATCCTTCAGCCTGAGAAGGGGCAAGAGATCCTCTTGCCCTTCCAGCATAGAAGACATCCCCAGCAGAGCCTGGATGGGGTCGGTACAGCCTGACCTGGAGGTGGGAGGGAAGGGCTGTGCTCTAGAACATCATCCACTAGCCAGGAGTGGGGAGAGGAGCCAGTGCTTGGTGTTTCCATACCTGGCTGCACTCAGAGAATGGTGGAGGTCAGACCTCAGTGTCCAGGAGCTCACCAAGAGCTTCCAGAGCCAACACTGTGCAAAGGACAACTCAGAACCACTGAGCATCATCGAGTCCAATTCCTGAAAAGCCTCCCCTGCTTCCCCCCATCTGCATACTCCCATCCCTTGCCCCACATCACCATGGTTGGCTGGATCCTGCCCCTTTCCTCCTTTTCTGTTGGAGTTGGTTCCTGCTCCTGGCGGGTGCTGTGCCATTTGCTGCGTAGGTTCCTCTGGCAGCGTTTGCTCATTCCAAGTCCACTATTGGAATTGCTAACACACATCTGCTCTTTGGATTTTCCTTTTTGTTTTGCTCTGATTTACACATTGAAATGGGGCCATCATGGGAACACTCTCATTTTACTGGTTTTTTTTTATTATTTCCTTGATTTTATTTTTTTTTTTTTTTTTTTTTTTTTTTTTTTTTTTTTTTTTTTTTTTTTTTTTTTTTTTTTTTTTTTTTTTTTTTTTTTTTTTTTTTTTTTTTTTTTTTTTTTTTTTTTTTTTTTTTTTTTTTTTTTTTTTTTTTTTTTTTTTTTTTTTTTTTTTTTTTTTTTTTTTTTTTTTTTTTTTTTTTTTTTTTTTTTTTTTTTTTTTTTTTTTTTTTTTTTTTTTTTTTTTTTTTTTTTTTTTTTTTTTTTTTTTTTTTTTTTTTTTTTTTTTTTTTTTTTTTTTTTTTTTTTTTTTTTTTTTTTTTTTTTTTTTTTTTTTTTTTTTTTTTTTTTTTTTTTTTTTTTTTTTTTTTTTTTTTTTTTTTTTTTTTTTTTTTTTTTTTTTTTTTTTTTTTTTTTTTTTTTTTTTTTTTTTTTTTTTTTTTTTTTTTTTTTTTTTTTTTTTTTTTTTTTTTTTTTTTTTTTTTTTTTTTTTTTTTTTTTTTTTTTTTTTTTTTTTTTTTTTTTTTTTTTTTTTTTTTTTTTTTTTTTTTTTTTTTTTTTTTTTTTTTTTTTTTTTTTTTTTTTTTTTTTTTTTTTTTTTTTTTTTTTTTTTTTTTTTTTTTTTTTTTTTTTTTTTTTTTTTTTTTTTTTTTTTTTTTTTTTTTTTTTTTTTTTTTTTTTTTTTTTTTTTTTTTTTTTTTTTTTTTTTTTTTTTTTTTTTTTTTTTTTTTTTTTTTTTTTTTTTTTTTTTTTTTTTTTTTTTTTTTTTTTTTTTTACTTCCAAGGACACAATTTCGAGCCCTGAATTCTTCTCTTCTAACCTCCCTACTTTCATTGCAGATCTTACATTGTAATTTATTTTCTTTTCTTGTTTCTTCTTTCTTATAAAATGCTCCGTGGTTGTGAATTGTAGTCATTATTAAATGAGATTCTTTTCCTGCTGTCTTGTCTTTTAGGTATGCTCAGCCACCCACCCATCCCTGTTTCTGAGCTGGCTGAACACACAGAGCATCTCAAAGCTAATGATAACCTGAAATTATCCCAAGAGTATGAGGTATGAGCAAGAATGAGTACTGTGCATGGGTTTGCAGAGCCAGGAATTAGGAAATTCAGATTAGCTTTCATCCAAATCAGCCTAGCTTTGGTGTAAGGATCTGCTTGGTTGAAATTTAAAAGTTATTCAGTACTTTGCTCAGTGATTTGCTGGGTTCAATTCCAGGTCATAAAAAGAAAAGAGGTTTGGGGCCATCCATGAGCCACTTCTATCCAGAGTGGGCATCATGGGCAGGGGCTGAGCTCCCTTGGAGAAGGGGAATGGGATGGGGAGTTGTCCTGGGGTTGCTCATGTCTTGCTGCTGGACACGGAGAGGACTAAGCCAAGGAATGTGACTCCCAGTTTTAGACAGCTGAGATGAGCAGTGAGTCCTCCACAGCTGATGTTATTGGCAGTCATGGAGCTAAAGCTGGGAAAACAGGATGATTTGTACCTCCCTTGTCAT